CTCGGTATTTTTCCGTTTTTTTTTTTTTGGGAGTTTTTATTCATTCATGGTGTTATTCCATTTACCGTGTTACAAAACCCCCCCGCCGTCATATAAAAGCCCTTTTCACATAATCGGCTAGAGTTTCAGCATCATATACACGGTAAGAAAAAAGTACCCAACGACCAGTTCACTTTTACTTACTTTTGACTAGTTTGTCTCCTTTTCTTCTTCTAATGTTGTCAGAAACGGAGGAGCAAAACCACCCAATAGGGGTAGTAAAGTGTGGGAACCCAACGTTGAGTATAATCATATTTACCTACTGTTGGGTCCAACTATCTTACTTTTGGTTAAAAAGCCAGTGAAAAATTCCATACGAACCGCACATAAGTAAATGAAAATTAGTTTAACCCGCTTTACCTACTTTTGGGTTCCTGCACTATAGAGATTGCTGACGTTTATCGTTCGCACACTACGTCACGTATACGTATACGTAAAATGTTTTCATTGGGAAAAACAATTTCATAGCAGAAAATGTTTCCGATAAAAACAGAATCACTGACACAATCATACTTATGCAATCTCTATTGTGCCGAGATGAGTGAAAAGAACTTAATTTTGGTTACATTTTTCAAAACTACCCAAATTTGGGTAGAATCCACCCAGATCGGTCAAAACTGAACCTAACCAAAAATGGGTAAACTGTGTTGGGTGGGGAGTTACAATTTGACAAATAAACAACATCGGCATGAATCCTGGGGTAGGACGTATTGTCAAATCAGCCTACACGGAGAAACGAAACAACTCAAAATTAAGTCTTTTGTACTCATTGACACCTAACTGCAACCAGGCAAAATTGAGTTCTTTGCGAAGTATCCAATTTTTAGTATTTTGCGAAGACTTCATTTTGAATCAAATGTAAGTGTTTAGTTAAGAGTGAATATTGGGTAAAAAATACGTAAAACCAGGTCCTTATTTTTAAAATTTATTTGTAAAAAATGTTTTAATTGATTTTCTTCCATATAATGTATGATAATTGAGTACAGTACAGTAGTTTAGTTTTATTTATTCTAAAGTGGTACACAGGTAAACATTTTTATAAACAAGGAGAGGTTACAATTTTTTAGCTGGTTGTGGTCAACTTCTAGCTATGCAACGATTTCCGGGTCATTGCCAGAGGAGATCCGGCACGTTGAATTAACCGGGGTCTTATCGCTGGACGTAAGTTCAAAGCGAACTCCTTGGTTCCACTCTCGGCTGCCAAGACTTCAGGTGGTTTACTTAGATGTATCACACTGAAATTATGTAGGTAGGAGAAAAAGAGACAAGAACCAATCAACTTGCAAAGCAGAGTCAAAAAACTAAAAGCTTTACCCTCACCACAGACAAACAGACGTAACTCTTCATTGTGTATCTTCGTTCACGCATTTAACGGTTGATTTGAATATTATCAGTTCCGCGAACTACTCGCCGTAGCGCTGGCATCGGATCACTTTGACATTTCTATACATTCTATTGAACTTTCATTCAATATTGTTTGCGAGTTAGCGAGCAAGATTGTTTTCCGCGAGAAGCCCGAGAGATGTCGTTACTGAGGTCCTATGTTTTGAGATGCTATGTTTTCAAGAAAAACTTTTTCAAAGAGTTACGTCTGTTTGTCTGTGCCCTCACTTTCCCACTGCTCTCAGATACTGTGTTAATGGTGCACTTCACTAAAGACAGATCATCAGCAGGTGGAGGTCATTACGCTCGTAAAAGACTGTTTTGTCTGACTTAATAATGCAAGGATGACGAATGACTCTTCCCACAGGTTCCAGACATTTTTGGTCTGTATGGAGATCTAGAATAGAATTATAGTTTAGTTTATGACCTTCATTAGTGTACCTATTACTTAATTCCGTACAGTTTGGAACACTAAATTCACCAATTTAACATGTCTTCACTTAAATAGCTGCAGCTTTTGGTAAACGAAGAAGCTGAAATTAACATGGCGCACACTACGATTTTTCATCTAAAATGAAGTGCAAACGCAACACTTGATTTTGGATACTTTCGTAGCGTGGAAAACTAATCAACTCAATATCGAGATAAAAAGTCCGCAAATAAAGAACTCTCTCATGACTACTGTTTGAGTACAATTAACGAAAAGTAAGTGATCGGGTTATACTACGAGATTAAGTTTAAAGTACTCATAAATGAGAACAAAATTTCACTCAAAACAGTAGTGTTGGCGGACTACTTATTTTTAAGTACTTTTTATCTCGATTTTGAGTTGTTTCGTCTTTCCGTGTACTGATCATTCTTGTATGAAATTGGTTCCAAATGTAAACAAACCATGTAGGTTTCTTATGGCTTGTTTACGTTTGGAACCATAGTTCTCGCGTCACTTTTCAAATAGACCAATGTAACATATCCACCATTTTGAGAAAATCGAAGTTGAAGTTCGACAGATTATTAATTTAACTGTTTAAAAACAATACATTTTGCAATACTATTTTTAATGTAGCCAGTGTATAATAACGTTGGAAATTCAGAAGAAACGGTAAAATCACAATTTTACTTTGAGTTTCATGCTACAACATACACAGCAAAAAAAAATGTAATATCGATCAACGTAATTCAAGCTGATGTATGAAATAATGATGTAATAGCAAAACGCAGATACAATATTACATCAATGGATGTAATTTTGTTCGCAAAATCGATGTACATCGTACAATGTGATATTACACAACCGATGGATTGACCTGGTTGCAGCAGTTTCGATGTAATATTCAACAACTTTTTTTGCTGTGTAGAAAAAACCACGTTTTGACAAGTCGAGTTGTACATCGGACATGTTACATTGGACGATTTTTCTCAATGACATAATCAATGAGTGTTACATTATAGTACCTAACTTAAGATTGGCCCCGCCTTTGGAAAATGAGCACCAATCATGTTAAGCAGTCCGAATGACCGAAGTAACAATCACATACCCCTCATTTCAAACTGTACATAGGACAATTTTTGATCAATGATTATTTTAAATAAATTAAAGTAAATTTGGATGGATGTTTTTGTATCACATACAATGATAGAAGAGCAATAGTTTGTAACGCTTAACTCGATTTGTTTACATTTGTTACATTGGTCTATTTGAAAAGTGACGCGAGAGTTATGCGAGGTAGGCCAACCTGGTCTATACAAGGTGTGGAGATCTAGCCCTCACGTATGTGTTGGTAGAGGGAAAAAGGTAAACATTACGGGAGAGGATGACCACGACGTCATAACAGTCGAAAGCAAATTTGTGAAGTATGAAGTACAGCAAATTCTAGATATGTTTGCATGATGATTGCTTTCCCCACGCAGAAAAAACACTGAGGCGTAAACCAATAAAATATTTTGTTATTATTTAATACGAAATTTCTATTTGTTTCAGTTCATAATGAAGTTTCAAATCAATAAAGAAGCCCATTTAAATCAAACCAACACAATTGTTTAAAAATATTTATGTATGTGTAGTGCAGTGTCAGTCTGTATCGACATCATAACATTGTTAATAAAAAAGCAAAAAAGTAAAATGATCATTTTCCTAGGCATTTTCTAATATTCTATAATTACAGGAACTCCTCCTCTGCACCACTGAAATGCGTCAACATCGGCATCTACAGCAGAATCGCTACCAGCAGCACAACAATTGTCAAAATTACCCTCGAAATTATCACCAACAATAACATTAGAATCTACACCATGGTGTACAGAATTGATTTATCTTTATTAAGGTGTACAGAAAGGCGCACAAGGGAAAAACGTTCTTCCACCCGTTCAGGCACAATAAATTAACAAACAAACAGTGGCTTAGTTAGTAACTTAATTGAAACCATAATTGAAAAATGTGGGTTTATTTTTTATAATGACAGCTAATCTGACCTGGGAATTTAAATAAATTTGGTTTTGAAACAATAAAAATAACATTTCAATGCAACAAAAACGACAATTACTTTAAATGATGCTTCAATTTGATTCAAGCAAACATTTTTTTAAATCAATAAAAGCCGATGTTCAATTAAATAAAATTAGTAGTATTATCCCAACTCAATTTTATTGTTGAATTAATCTATCAATTTTATTGATCCATATTCTATTAAAAATTTTGTTTAACATGAAACATAATTTCAGTGCCCACATTTCAAAGGGGCGTAATTGCTTTTGTAAACAATGGCTTTAGCTATCGATTTCTCGCAAATAAAAGTCCATCCCTTCAAATTAACAATGCTAGCTGGCAAAGTAAACATTCCTCTACCTGCTGGTGTCATTAATCTTCATGAGTAAGTTTTAACTCACGAGAAATCGACGGCTAAAGTCATTGTTTACTAATACAATTACGCCCCTTTGAAATGTTGACACTGATTTGTTTGATTGCACTATGTTTTTTTCTGCGTGTAATAAAAAATAACCATAAACGAACGATAACCCAAATCATTGAACTATTCCACAAATGGTTTGGATGATTGGCTTCATACAGAAATTTTATAATTCATATTCAATTTCCAATGCAAACGCTGATTGAAACAAACGTTATGACGTAAGTACGAGCGTGTTTGAGCGTACGAAAGAAGTAAATCGTGCGAAGCCGACTGAAAGCCGAGTGAAAAACGAACTGCACCAATTCGTACAGGCCATCAATTCCACACCTTGACGGCACCGTCGAAAAATTTGCTCTTCCAGCAAATTTAGATAGTTTCTTATGGGAATTTTCGGTGGAGTGAAAGGATAGTACAAAGTCCGCCATGTTTCACGCACAGTCTGACGTTTGCTTATGGATTTTCTCATAGGAGTAAAGAGCTACAGAGTCGCCGTCAACGCCAATAGACCAGGTTGAATCCAAACTACGTTGTTAATTTGTCAACTTGTCACTCCCAACATAGTTTACCCATTTTTGGGTAGGTTAAGTTTTGACAGATCTGGGTGGGTTCTACCCAAATTTGGGTAGTTTTGAAATAGCGTGTATATATCGCGAAGGTAACAACACTGTAACAGTGTTGTTTCTGTTCTGATGTAAGTGTTGTAAAATAAAATAATGTTTAATTTTCCCCCAATAGCACCTTTAACATCCGTGGTATTTGCAGGGCAGCTGCTGCACAATGACCATCCCATCAACAATCAGCAATCGTTTGATCCTACGGCTATACCGGGACCTGCGCCGGTACGGCTCCCAGCTACAGTTTACCGATCAGGAGTACTTCCTGCAGCGTGTTCGACGCGAGTTTGATCAGCATCGGGACCTAAGCGATCCCAAGAAGATTGAGTTTTGCTACAAGGTATACGGCAGCATTTTTTTTTTCAAATTCCAGCGTATAATAATTTCAAAATCCATTCCAGAGAGGAAGAGCCCTTCTCGATCAGGCTCGAGTAGTTTAAGGGCGTCACGTCAGTCATGTTCACTCTACACAGAATGACTTCCCACTTCCGAGCTTTTCGCGGAACCTTCCATCGGTACAAGACCACAATTGATACGTCCAAAGTGCCGGCCTTGCGGGAGGAAGACCTGGAGGAAACTTTCGTACGCGGCAGTGGCCCCGGCGGTCAATCGGTTGCCAAGACCAACAACAAAGCGGTACTCACTCACAAGCCGACCGGCATCGTGATCCAGTGTCATGCCTCCCGATCTCTATTCAAAAACAGAGAGGAAGCCCGTCGCCTGTTGGTGTTGAAACTAGACGAGCTCGAGAATGGCGATCAATCCGTAGAATCACAACAGAAAAAAATTGACTTGAAGAAACACACGGAAGCAGTGCGAAGGAAGTTTAAACGACAAGAGATGAAAAAAGTTTGGAAGGAGCGGGAGTTCGGATCGGAACATTGAATATTTTACGCCGTAGATTTTAGATGTAAATAGATACAGATTTACCACGATTTAAAGTTTCCAAACTTATTAATTGCTTCTTCCTTTTTGTGTTTCTTTGTTTGAGTTGGATACCCTCCGCTGCTGGTGGAAGGTTCCGGTTCTGCTAGCCTTTTGGTAACGTCCTTGTCCAGGTACTTGCCAACGCCAGAGCGAAATACTTTCAACGGTTGTGCCCGGGTGGACTTTTTCTGCTTCTCCTCCGCTTCCCGATGCACTCGTTCCAGTTCTTCGGACCGTTGATTGGCCAGCTCTTCGTCAGCTTCCTGAAACGGGTCGACGAATACCTGCACACGCTGGATGAAGATGTTCTCTATTGGTCGATCCTTATTGTCCACTTCGACACGCTCCATCTCGGTCAGCACTTCCAGGCCACCGACCAACTTTCCGAATATTGTATGCTTGCCATCCAGATGTCGACAGGAACGATACGTTATGAAGCTGTTGAAGACAACAAATAGTAATTGAATTTTCCAGGATATGCGCACTCACGAACTTACAACTGCGACCCATTCGTGTTCGGTCCCGAGTTGGCCATCGACAGAATTCCTCGTCCGGAATGAGACAAATTCGGTCGAATTTCGTCAGCGAACTTCTTGCCCCAAATAGACGATCCACCGTTGCCTACTCCGGTCGGATCACCACCCTGGATCATAAAATTTCTGATTGATCGATGAAACATGCACCCATTGTAGTACCCAGTTTGGCAGTGCTTGAGGAAATTTTCGCACGTCTTCGGCACCTGATCGCAGTACAACTCCAAATTCAATGCCCCAAAGTTCGTCAAGAATCTTACGTAGCCCTTCTTCTTGACTCGTTCATACCGGATCACATCCTCTTCAATAATAGCCGCCTCATGATTCAACACTGGAACCATCGAAGTCGATGTGAAAGCAGCAGCCACCGCTCCCGTCGAGTAGTGCGCCGCATTGAATTTATCCGCCACCTTATGTACGACAGCTTTTTCCTCCGGAGCTTTGTAATCCTTCTCCAACTGGGTCAGAATTTCTCTCGTTTCCATCGAAATCGTCTTCAACCTGCCCTGGGGATCCTTCTTCTCCGCCAACTCCTCTTCCGTTTCCACACGCATCTTCTTCTTAATATGATGGAAATTACTAATGTTAAACTTTTCCAAGTTTGCCGGATCTTGAATCGTGATCAGATCCTTCCTAGTGAATGGGGTATCATCCAGCAGATCCTTCCAATTCTTAGCCTTGATATTCAGCTGCTCAATCGCTTCGTAGGAGAATACATTGCCCGACTTACCGTTTACCACAATGTGTGAGTTTTTGGTGAATGGTTTGAACAACGTCGGACAGTGGTACTGTCCATCGTGATGCTTGCTAAAGTTCAACTTGACCAACGATTTCCCATCGAGCGGCGCTCCAGTCACCGGGTTCACTTTGAAGTGTTTGATAAAATCCACAATCGCCTGCAGTTCGAACACATTCCCGTCCTTGTCGCAGTATGGATGCTCGAACGGAACCATTGACAGGCAGCAGTGGTCGAACGGGAGCCGCTTGAACTTGATCTGTTCGTTTTCGACCGAACCCACTTTGTGTCCACCGTAGAACTCTGACCACTCCGTGTAGGTCAGGTACCTGTAGGCGTTGAGGAAAGGATCATTGAGGGACATAATGCAATCAGAGAACTCTGTGGAACTTACATTTTGTCCTTCTGGTGTTGCTTTTTACCCATTTTGGAGCGGTTTTGTTCGAGTTTTCCGGGGATAAAATCAACAAAACACTTGATTACTTATTAGATATAGTTTAATAAAATAGCAATAGCAGTTAGTTGTTGCAGTACTATATTTAATGATTTGGTAAACAAACATCCAGTAGAGAACAAAACCACAAAACAGATACTACAGACCAATGAGCTGGATTACCGAGGTGAAGCAGTCGTTTAAGTTGTGTGAGTAAAACCCCTGTACGATACAAACAATTAATCATTTTGTCAAGCTTCTGCATTCATGTTCCATCAGATGTCACTGCTGTTGTTTGCGGTGACATCTATCGGAAACTAGACACAATCTGTTTTCCTATAATTGTTCACAGAGGACACTGCAGTGCAAAACTTAGTTTAAATGATCTTTATTTTAGTTTAACTTGGACGATTACCATATAAATTTTTTACTAAGTGATTTAATGATTTCTTCATCTTTAGGTATGGGCAAAATTCCAAATTTGTTTTACAGAATTAGTCCTAGACTTAGTACACGGTCGACCACCTTGGTGGGATTGGTTTGTTTTGTTTTTAGAATTTGAAGAGAAACTACTTAATACTACTATTTACAGCTTAAAACTAACCTACTCTACTATATACACTTAACCTACTATGTACAAATTGCTTATTAAAGCATGTTCAGAAAGATTGCATTTTTGAATAAATTTAGTTGTCATATCATCAATTTTGGAATCTACTTTGGGAATTTCTGCCTCTTGATGGAGGTCTGCTATTCTTGTGTCGAATGGACGATCTAGGATCATCCTCAACACTCTATTCTGTGCAACCTGGATTTTGTTCCTGTGGGTCTGAGCGCACGATTCCCACACCGGGGCGGCATAGAAGATCGCGGGGGCTATGATCTGTTTGTAAACAGCCAGAGAGGCGGGATCTGCGGCAAATGAGCGGATACAAACACCTAACCAAGGCGGAGCACTTAACTAGGGTTTTCTCTATGTGCGAGCGGAACAGGAGCTTCTCATCGAACAACATCCCGAGATAAGTAACATCAGTGGACCACTCGACCCTTGTACCATCCATTATTACGGTACAGGAGGGAGACGGTTTAAGTTTTAATGATTGTCTGTGAAGGAACATGATCGCTTGGGTTTTCGAGGCGTTGATTTTGATTTTCCACGTGGTGGCATAATCAGTAAAGGTGTCAAGGCATCGTTGGAGCTTGTTCGTAATTTCACGAGGCATCCTACCCTTGACAGCTATCGCGGTGTCATCTGCAAACAGAAAGAACACGCAACCGTCTCCTAGAGGAGGGATGTCCGACGTGTAGATGCTGTAAAGCAGTGGTCCCAGCAGACTCCCTTGCGGAACACCTGCTGGGATAGGAAATTGTCCCGAAAGGGAACTATTCAACGACACCCTGAACGACCTTTGCTGGAGATAGTTACGGGTGATTTTCACAAGGTATGGTGGAAAGTTAGAGTTACAAAGCTTGTATATAAGTCCGTCGTGCCAGACATTGTCAAACGCCTTTTCGACGTCTAACAAGGCCATGGCTGTGGACTTGGATACAGCTTTGTTACTTCGGATGTTATTCATCACCCGCACTAGCTGATGATTGGTGGAATGCCCCTTGCGGAACCCGCAGTGCAAAACTTTTTCCATTTAAATGATCTTTATTTCTTGTGATTGTGTGGTTTACATGTATGAATTTGTTAAGTGACACAGATGCGTCTTTTCAACTTTGGTACATTTGAGATTTTAATTATTATTTACAGTTCCTAGTCCTATCAGGCCTATTTTAAAGTATGACCACCTTGGTGGGATTGGTTTGATTTGAATTGGAAAAAGGAGACTACTTATAACTACTATTTACAACTACAACTAACCTACAACTACTATGTACACCTAACCTACTATATACAAATTGCTTATCAAAGCATGTTCTGATAAATTACATTTTTGTGTAAATTTAGTCTTAATTTCGTTAATTTTGGAATCTATTTTGGCAATGCCTGCCTCTTCATGTAAATTTGTTATTCTAGTGTCGAAAGGACGATCAAGAACCATCCTCAGCACTCTATTCTGAGCTACCTGAATTTTGTTCCTGTGAGTCTGTGCACATGATTCCCACACCGGAGCTGCGTAGAGGATCGCAGGTGCTATGATTTGTTTGTAGACGCCCAGTTTGTTCACCCTTGAGAGGCGGGATCTGCGGCAAATCAGCGGATACAGACTCCTAACCAAGGCGGAACACTTGACTACGGTTTTCTCCACATGCGAGCGGAATAGAAGCTTTTCGTCAAACAACATCCCGAGATAGGTTACTTCGGCGGACCACTCAACCCTTGTGCCATCCATGATTACAGTACAAGAGGGAGCCGGTTTTAGTTTGGAGGATTGCCGATGGAGGAACATGATTGTTTGTGTTTTGGAAGCATTGATTTTGATTTTCCACGTGGTGGCATAATCAGCAAAGGCGTTAAGGCATCGTTGAAGTTTGTTCGTTATTTCGCGAGGCATCCTTCCTTTGACGGCTATTGCAGTATCATCTGCGAACAGGAAAAACACGCAACCGTCTCCAAGGGGAGGAATGTCGGAAGTGTAAATGCTGTAAAGCAAGGGTCCCAGCAGACTGCCTTGCGGGACTCCTGCTGGGATGGAAAACGTGTCGGAAAGACAACCATTCAACGATACCTTAAACGACCTTTGCTGGAGGTAGTTACGGGTGATTTTAATAAGATGTAAAGGAAAGTTGAAGTTACAAAGCTTGTATACAAGCCCATTGTGCCAGACATTATCAAACGCTTTCTCAACGTCTAACAATGCCATGGCTGTGGACTTGGATACAGCTTTGTTACTTCGGATGTTATTCATCACCCGCACTAGCTGGTGATTGGTGGAGTGCCCCTTTCTGAATCCAAACTGTTCCGGAAGGAGAATGTTATTTTCCTCGACAAACTTGAGCAAACAATTGAGAATGAGTTTCTCGAACAATTTGCTCAGCGCTGAAAGGAGGCTGATTGGTCTGTAGCTTGAAGCTAGCGTTGGGTCCTTCCCGGGTTTGCGGATAGGTATGATTTTCGCTGTCTTCCAGATACTTGGAAAGTAGTGCAGTTCCAAGCATCTGTTGAAGACAGCAGCCAGCAGAGAGTGAACCTTCATGCTGAGATTTTTCAACACTAGGTTGAATATTCCGTCAAACCCGGGGGCCTTCATGTTTTTGGTGCATTTCAGCGCTGAGCAGATCTGTTCCACTGTGATCCTATCCTCCGGAGGGATGGCACAAGGGGAGGAATCAAGGTTGAGTACGCATTGCTCAACCTGAACTTCGAGCGGACTTTGGATGTTGGAGCCAAGCAAGTGCGATTTGGCAATATGCTCACCAATCGCATTTGCTTTCTCCTGAGGGGTGATTATGAGCCGATCGTCATCATTTTCATCTTTTAGTGGCGGAATGGGTTTAGGGTGCGTCTTTAAGACCTTGGCAACTTTCCAGAATGGTCTGGAGCGGTCGTCCAGATTCTGGACAAGCCGCCCGAAACTTTCGTTCCGGAGTGAGACCATTCTGGAAGCAATCTCCTTGTTCAGATTGGCCATTTCACGTTTCCTCGCTAGATCTCCAGTTCTCTGAAACTGGCGTCTACGAACATTTCTCAGGCGAATTAAGAGTTGGGTGTGGGAATCAATAGCAATAAACTTACCCCTCACAGGAACTCGTCGGACGCACGCCTCGTCAGCCACGGTTATGGCTAGGTGGAGTCCCAAGTAACCAAAAGTTCTGATAAAAGGCCATTTGTGGCTTAAGCAGCGTAGTTAGTGATGGTCTTTAGAATTCTAAGCAGCCTCATTTTTAAGTCGTTATAAGAACTTGAAAGTTCCGGTATCATAATTGAAGAGAATTCTAAGCAGCTTCTGGCGGAACTTGAACGGAACTTTTAGAAAATAAATTAAAAAGGGTTTTTGCCCTCTAAACCAATTCTATGTTTAGTTCGCACTTTTATGAAAGTTATTTCTAAAGGCAGGTATTTATGTTTATTGATTTATCAGCATTAGTAGTTTTGGAGCTGTTTGAAGAATTAAACCCAGTCCTTCTGCGTGAGAGCCCCAGCACGAACCGCTGCGTCATCTGAAATATATTAAAGCGAGCTGTTGTCCCGCCTACTGTTGGAGTTTTCAGTGCCAGCTGACTGACTTGCATACAAAACACAATACCTTGATGAATTTGAAATTGGTATTTGCCCGCATGGTATTCCAACACATTTGTGGCGCAGTGGTTAGCGTTAGTAGATCGCATGCCGAATACACGGGTTCGAATCCAGGAAATTACTTTTTAATTTTTTTTTATGTTTTAACAGAATGTTGATGCACTGCATAAATATAAGAATTATGATTTATTCGGGCCACTGATCATTTAATAATTATGTATATTAAATTTTGTTACTAATAAAGACTTGTGCGGATTGCTTCATGTGGCTTGAAAGTTCTGTCGGAACTTTATTTGAACTTTATGGAACTTGAAAGTTCTGTCGGAACTTTATTTGAACTTTATGGATCTTGAAGGTTCGGTCGGAACTTTATTTGAACTTTATGGAACTTGAAAGTTCTGTCGGAACTTTATTTGAACTTTATGGAACTTGAAAGTTCTGTCGGAACTTTATTTGAACTTTATGGAACTTCTGTCGGAACTTTATTTGAACTTTATGGAACTTGAAAGTTCTGTTGGAACTATATGTGAACTTTATGGAACTTGAAAGTTCGGTCGGAACTTTATTTGAACTTTATGGAACTGGAAGGTTTGGTTGGAACTTTATTTGAACTTTATGAAACTTGAAAGTTCTGTCGGAACTTTATTTGAACTTTATGGAACTTCTGTCGGAACTTTATTTGAACTTTATGGAACTTGAAAGTTCTGTTGGAACTATATGTGAACTTTATGGAACTTGAAAGTTCGGTCGGAACTTTATTTGAACTTTATGGAACTTGATGGTTCGGTTGGAACTTTATTTGAACTTTATGGAACTTGAAAGTTCTGTCGGAACTTTATTTGAACTTTATGGAACTTGAAGGTTCGGTCGGAACTTTATTTGAACTTTACGGAACTTGAAAGTGATTCTAATCGTTGA